GCTCTTGCATAATGTGTGAAAGTAGTTAATCGATCTGGGCACACTGGCATCTTCTAGATATGTTACTAGTTGATCAGGTGACTGTTGACCTGTTCGTAGGGCATGGCAGTTAGTTTGCTAGCTGGATATTTTTGGACAAACCGTGAGATTGGATCATGGCAGAACAATTTTTAAATACAATCCTTCTTTACATGTCTACGGTACAGGTGATTTGGTCACAGAAACATCACTATGAAATCAATTCTGCGTAGTGAAAAGGTAAGTTTTGACCAGAGAGAAATTTGTTTAAAACACAAAGATCAGCTAGTTTTCGGGTAAAATTGTTTTGGAAGTTGTGAAGTGCAAGAGTGCTGTTAGGTTTCCCAGTCTCACTAGTTCAAAAACGGCATGAAACTGGCGGATACCGTGGCTCAGGTGCGGGTTGAGTTAACCTCAGTTAGCATTAATACTTCCATTTTGGCCTACACTTCAACCGGAAAAGGTTTTGTACAATAACATGAATTTTGACTCCTCGGACCTAGAGCTGCCACCTTGTTGTGGGCTTCTGTACTGCAATGCTCCTACGGACTACACAAGCCTGAACTCTCTTCCGTTGGGTTTATCTATGCCAGCAAGGACAGCGGAGAACGGTAAGATTCGATACTGCGAAAAAATATTATGAGACGATGTGGAGGTAAATTTGTACGGCCTTCTGCGATAAGGATTTTTTTCGAGTTAGCTAACAAGCCCGTATTGTAGATGCAGCAATTATACCTTCCTTTGAGGAAGGGTGAGTTGAAAAATGGCGAACTCTCAATACCTGCTGCATTATACAATACGATCAAAATACTTTTAAAACCAGAGTCTGGTTCAACAAGAACCTGTTTTGTTAGAAATCAAACATTCAGTAAGACAGCCGTAGCTTATCCCTTGTGTCCTCAGGCCACACCAGCCCCTTTAGCCGACTGGGTGTAACTATTTAGTCGCTGGCTCCGGAAAGGCTTCCTCAATATAACCCCAACAACCGCTGCACTACGGTTCAGGCTTTTGGGTCACAGGCAGGGTGAAGTGTCCCCGAACAAGACCATACATTCTGCCAGTGCCTTGTAGGCTAGGCTTTTAAGTCAAAGTCTCGTGGTGGGGCAGCTCAAGCAAGCCTCCTTCTCCTACCTGAGCATCCGGGAAGGATCATTCGCCCTTCCACGCATTCGTTCACTGACCTCTCCCCACACGTCCATCTGACCGACTTAGCTGTCATTTTCATGGATCAGATACATGGCCGCTGATCTTAAATGAACTTCGAAGGCTCTCTGTGCTTGAATAATGTTTGAACAGTGGGTCTATGGTCATACACGTACATGACCGTTTCGTCCTCATTATGAGCAATCTTGAATGGAGTTGCTGTAGGTTCTTCAGATTTCGGAAAATCCCTCCTCGAAAGCTGCTTTGCCGTAAATCCGTTCGCTTCAGAAGTGATTGTGAAGTGAAACGGTTTTCCTTGGCTGATATTCTCCATCAGTATACAGAGCTCGTCTTGGCTGCAACCAAACCAAGGACCACCCACGTAGCAGTAGGTGTAATTCCTGACTGCCAAATGGGTGTACAGACTCACTGTTTTCGCCCATCTTTAAACAGAAACTCGGTCACTCCGAGCAAGCACAACCGTCCCTTTTATTCTGAACGTGATTCGAGTTGCGGTTTGCCAACCACAGTCCTACCTACTGCAGCGAAGAATCCCACTGACGTCCTTTCTACTGCTTAGGCTGCACTTGGTTACCGAGTTGTTGGGAGTTTGGTGCGATGAACAGGAGAGCACACGTGGCCTCAAAAATACATAGAACTGGTATGAAGAGCCTTTTAGATGAGATATTCACAGTGGTGATTGCTGTATCACACACTACTACCTAAACCGATGGACCACCAGGCCTTTGAGACAGCTTTTTTTCTAGATACATCAGACTGCATCTGTAAGAAAGCTGTGAATTCCTCCAGTTACTCTTCGTAGTTTTCCAGCAGTCCAAGAGATAGTCAGGCCTTAGTTTGTGTTTGCAGACATGATCTTTTTCAAACACAGAGAGCACTGAGCCCCATGCCACATCTCGGTTTCACCCAGTAGGTGATCGATATTTCTGGGCTGCGGGCCGTAGCCTATAGGTCACATTCGACCGCATTCCGTATAACAATTTGTTCAAAGTCAGCATAACCAACAACGTTGTCTCAATTATCAAGCTGATACGAAAAGTTGTGGATGGAAATTTCATTTCCAACATGAATTTGAGTTTTATCGGCAGCGGAGTGGACCAGCTTGGGGGAAATATTCAAGCTCAGTTTTCAGAAAGTCTCCGTGACGAAAATAAATTATTTATTCGGAAAATTTAATTCCCTACTTGGAGTGATAATTCAGATTTGGACAGATCTGTGTATAAAGTTTTTGGTGAGGGCGATTTTCATTAGCTGGGAGACCAACTACATGAAAGGTCGAAGAGGACATGAAATGCGAAAAGGAGACCAATGGAGGGAAGAAACTAATTTTCAAACATTATGAATGACTGTTGCAACAGATTCGGGTGAGTATCCGTGGATGCTTGAGCAAAACTGTAGATTCGCGTTCGCGTCGCTCATTTGAACGATTATCTACTTGCGGTTGATGATTTTTTCGGTTTGTCCACAATAAGAGTGAGACACATTGGAATCATAATGTGGGCTCGTCATTGCTCATCAGTAGAGTATACTCTTCATCACGGAGCTGGTGGATCTCTGGTTATTCAACATGCCGGTAAGGTGGGTTACTGGCGTTCTACTAGACCACACCGAATGAGCAGCCACTATCTCACCTGAACAGGTAGACAAGTCCACACGAAAGTGATGCTTAGCACAGACCTCGATGGATGATCTGGCGCTCGCCCTCCTTAAATCAAGCGACTCACTCACCCGCTTGAAGCCCGTCGAAAAATTGTTGAATCCGTTATTTTGCTTTGATTTCGAACGCATCTGTGGTTGTCAGGGCGCGCCCAGACAAGAAGAAAAAGCACATGTGCAGAGAGTGACGTATCCCCAAGGTCACCATCGGCTCGACACGTCCGGAAAGTAGGTGAGTCGGCGGCTCCCACCAAACACGGCCTAGCAACACACGACCAGCGTAGTGGGCCTGAGAGTGTTCACGACCGGAACACCATCATTGGCTGTAAGGAGCGAACAGGTGAACGAGCATATTTGGTCAATTAGTCATGCTATATATATTTACGCAGACGCTCTGTACGTTTTGTCCTGGCAATACAGCCGTGTCTCCAGTTCTCTGTCTTCTCCCTATCGCGTAGTCTGGCAGGCTCAGTGCAGGCGTAACCAATAGCTCGCCCACCGCACAATACAACAGTGGTTCATTGGCACATGCACTAGACCATTTTCAGCTGTCCCCGTGACCACGGTTTTGGATTATTTTGGTCTGGTCCTTATAACCTACGAAATAAGCTAACAGAGACTGTCCAGTTTGAAGCGGATCTGTAACAGATTGTCATGACTGATTTGATTGATAGAGGTCAAACACTTGCTGATCGACAGTGTGCATACCATCCTTTATCAACGGAGGGTCAGAACGGTTGATTCCATCAAAAAAGATGGGTCACCACTACTATGAGGTGTAGATGAATGACAAACCGTCTAGGCCAAGGTGAAAAATGCGATCATGATGTGTCCTAATTATTTACTTGCGCCGTAAAGAACATGCGACGCAACCTGTTGTCGACCTTTCATATTTTTCATCTGTCTCATAAAATACTCCAATCGGGCTTCTCTAAACAAATGCAAACGGAGACAAACAAGTGTTTTGAATGGACGTCAAAAAACTGTTTAACGAAAATGCTGAGTTGTCTCAAGTTAGAGTTCACACGTCCGGGTCCTAAATTACCGTTTCTTTAGCCCAAAGTATTATATCTATTCTTGGTGGCTACTTTTCAGTGAAACGGTCCTCGTTTTTTGGCCTTACTAGGATAAGCTGAAGTTTATTGCTAAATCCCATCCCCAGTTACACTCGATTGAATTGCTTTTAGGTGGAATTCCCCATAAAAAATACTTTACTGCTTGCGGTTGGCGCTGCTGCCGACAAGAAGCATATTCCGCACGCGATTTTCCGCATAATCGAGCCAGTTGCCAAACCAGCGTCAAGGCGAGCTCTGATTGGCCAAAATTGGGACCCAACTGCCACATATGATCCACTGTTCACCGAATGTCGGCGGCCAATGGTGCTTGCAGAAGACGTCAGAATTTCCAGAATGTTGTTATCTAATGCACTTTATATAAGACGCGCTATATATTTTTTGCCTGGTTTGGGCACTGATACACTTTGTGCAACTTCGATGATTCGGTTGACGAGAACGCTATCACTGAAGGTTCACACCGAGAGCTAAGCTGAAGCATTACCATTACTAGAATTGGAGAACTGGAACCCACAATGTCTATGAAATTCACTCAACTCCAGGAATTAGTGCGGTAGTAACAAAAGCAGTTTGAAGAAATACAAATGAAGCTCAGTGAATCAATGACTGGGAGACTGCGTATGAAGACACCAGCAGCCAATACCAGTGAGTCTTCGGCTTCGTTAGTCGATGCAGTCGTCGCCTCAACCACGATGTTCGAATTCAACACCCCTTCTGATCACATTTGACTCATGGTCCAAGCAATACAATGCCATCTTCAAAACTGATTTTTCCAAGTTCAATAACGGATGAAAAGTCAGATTGTTGTTGTGAAAACTCAGGTCCACGGAGCCCGGAACGTTATGCAGACTTCATTCTCCCCAAGCAGCCCTGCGGTCTCAGGCTTGGTGAAACGGTCCGAACACCGTCCCGATATTCAATGATCAAGCGTCACTCTTCCGCATCCGTTACCAATACCTCAAGCTGATCGAGAAAGATTTTAACGATTGCTCCACGTTTCCCGGTGTTTTCAATCCGGAATACGAACGTTTCAAGCTCAGTTCAAACAAGGAAATTCACTTCCGGTGCCTCATTTTTGTATCAGATCACCAGTTGTTCCAAGTTGCAGACATTAGTACCCGGCTGCTTCAAAGAACTAAGTAGGGTGCTGAAATGACGTTGCAGAGCCACACCACCTAATGTCACCGCCTCACGAACCTGAAGAACGATACGGCTCTGACCTTCCGCTTCAAGCGGCTGTGACAATGCAGTCACCTCCAACGTCCCAAAGAAATCCGAGAACAAACCCTGTCGAAAACAGAAGAAATCCCTCGAAAGTTGCCAGCGTTGTAGTAAGTGGCACTTCTCTCTTTGGTTGTGGTTTTGGTGTCATAATTGTTCCAGGTGCGGTCATCCTGGCCACACAGAAGATTTATGTCGAGCTTAGATGCCGCAGCCACCTGGGCAGCACCGTGAAGCTAACAAATTCAAGTTCAAATGGGTGACAGTGATATTTCAAGCTGATTTTTCTTATCGAAGGACTTTGTGACAGGTCAACTTCACTCCAGTTTGTTTGCAACTTCATACAGGCTGCGACATTAAGCCCACGATGTGCAAGCGTGGAAAGGAATTGGTAAGCCGCATGTGAAACTGATCGGACATTGGGCCAATACGGTTTTTGGCTGTAAGCTGAAATTGACTGGCGAGGTTCACTGCTCCATAAACTTCGGTTGCTTGACGATGCAACCCACTTGCTATCTGATGTAATGCCTCAACCTTGATCTCATGAGGCTGGATTAGATTGATGGGCTGAATCTTCTGGAAAAGCCAATTAATTCTATTTGCAACCTCAGGAACGCAGTGCCTTGAATTGTCCTCGAACCAACTCACTTTCCGGAGCATTCACTTGAGGACCTGTTGCAAACTGTGCATCCATATTCACTAACAGGCGAACGACCGGAACAGACCTGAACCGACAGACGCCATTTGCAAACATTGTCTCGTTTCGTATGAGAACGGTAAGTTGAAGGGCATGACGACTAAAGCATACTAGGAGCTCAGAGGAAAATGGCATCACTTACCGCATATAAATTGTTCATGGATTTTTCTGGCGAACAGTGTTGATTTGAGTGTGTCACACTGCTTTATTTGCTCAGACTCAGATATGGAGAAGAGTGGGGTTTAGCGAAAATGTTACTTGTTCAACTAGAGCAACAGCAACGGTGTTAAAAAGTACCGCACAAAATGTACACGATAGGATAAGAAACAAAATAATGGTCAGATGAATCCGTCTATTGTTTAGGAGATTTTTTCACGGCTTTATGCCTCACAATATGCCAGATTATCGGTCTTCCACTCTAGCTGCTTTATGTGAATAAATGAAGCATTTTATCATTAGTTTTTGTCTATTTTCCGAGATCGTCTGTTGGGTCGGAACCATTCCATTACCAATCGATATGGCATCATCGCTGTCTCGTTGAGTGGGGTGAGTCATGCACCCACTATTGACAGTGTCACCTCGATTGGTGAGGAAGCGTTTGCAACACAAATGACAAGCACCGCGAACAGACCAACAACCAAGAAGTGCACACGAGCCAACTACATTCCGCCATATCGCCACATTTTCTTATGTTAACTGCGTAAATAATTTGCAAAGCGAACTGTTCCTTATCAGATCATCCATTCAATGATTTCGGCTACCCAAGGAATACTGTCCTCAAACAAACCACAGTAAACACATGCTACTAGTTTGTTTGTAAGTAGTTAATAAAGTTAGCCCGTCCGTACAAGGTCGTCCGAGCTTCCTGTTGCTGTGCCGTTCCTCGCTTGTGCTGGATATGTTATCCAGAGTTGATCTATGCTGTATCGTGGGTAGCCGTCTATGGGTTACGCCTGCACCGAGCCTGCCAGACTACGCGATAGCGAGAAGACAGAGAACTGGGGACACGGCTGGACAAAACATGCGGAGCATCTGCGTGATGTATAGGATGACCAAATGGCCAAATATGGTCATTCACTTGTTCTCCCCGTACAGCCAATGGGGATGTTCCGGTCGGGACACTTTCAGGCCCACTACGCTGGTCGTATATTGCTAAGCCATGTTTGGTGAGCTCCGCCAACGCACCTGCTTTCTGGACGTGTCGTACCGATGGTGACCTTGGGGATGCGTCACTTTCTGCACATGTACTTTTTCCATATCTGGGTGCGTCCTGACAATCTATGGTCCATATAATTGATGCAACTTGTTCCTGGTCGCTTACTTTGTTGGACGGAAACCAGAATTCCTGATACACTCCGAAAAATGTGAATACCGGATTCGTCTGTGGTTTGAGTATCGATCATGGTTGAGTGACACATGGGTGGCCAGGCTAAAATGCTGGTTCATGCCTAATCATTAGGCATTTTCACCGGTAATCATGAATCAAAAATAACTTGTTTGAACCTAGATTTTATATGCCCCAGAATGAAATAAGGTAGAGTGAAAATGGATCGACTGAGTTCGGGCGAATTTATCAGTATTCGATGAGTCATGTATCGGCACTCCATGCATTTCGACAAAAGAAGCCCTTTACAAAGGAACTTCTTAGACTGAAAAAATACATAGAGATCTTGTCGTGGAATTAACCTGATAGTACATATGGTATACCAAAGGAATGTCATGCCACTGTGTGGGTAGGCCTAGGTAGTCTTTAAGAAGGGAAGAGAGATAATGTACTACTCATAAGGTTGCTGAAAAACCGCCAACAGTCCATGACCGGTTTCGCCCTTTTTGGGGCTCATCAGGTAGAACATAAGTGGAACATAAGGTTAACGGAAACCCAGGGACTGCACCTATCTGATGAGCCCAAAAAAGGGCGAAACCGGTCGTGGGCTGTCGACGGATTTTCAGCAACCTTATGGGTAGTTACATTACAAAGATATACATGTATCGCGATATCTCGAATATCGTAGCGACTGAAACATGAGGCGGCCTGGTGCAGTACATTCAGTTGCCTGAGAACATCACAAACGAGAGATTCAGCTGGGTTCCAGGTGAGTCTCTCGAAAAAACCAAATTAGTTTGCAAATGAGTGTATGTTCACGGCAGAGATAATTTTATGTACTTAATGTTTAACATGGTACTGATTTAGAAGCACAATATAGCTTATAAGAATATATGAATACCAAGGATGAAACTCGGTACTGCTGGATGAGTTTCTACCGCCACTTTGCTTCATATCTTTTCGTCCACAATAAGGACATTTTGGCTAACTTATGCAGTCCATGAGCGCAGAAATCGGTGGGTTCCGAAGTTGTGAGAAGTTAGAATCTGGTGACCGCAAATTGACTTATCAGCATAATTTGGTGAATTAAAAACCTTAGGCCACTGATACCATGGCGGGAATTTTGACGTAAAGAGCATCATTGTCTCACGACAGAGTGAATTTAGTCCCTTACCTAGTGGTTCTGTAATGGAAAGTGAACCCAGCGACCAATTAACTAAGGTGTCGAGTAAAATGCTCAGAAGAAGCAAATCTACCGCAGTTTATTAATCAAACGAGAGTTCCGGCTAATTTGTAAGGTATCTAGAAGCCTGGGCGTTCCTGTTGAAGCTGCTTTCAGTCTTAGCCACAACGACCGTGCTAAATGATATTTGCATTAGCATGATAGTGAGTGGGATCCAGAAACATAAAGACGAGGGGAGGGGCAAGCCACTTCGCTCTCAAATTGAATTCGCAGCATCATTTACCCTACTTAACCGAAACTTGCTTTCGGATAGAACAGGCAAACGCATCGCCTGTCGTTATTCAGGGAGCCGGTCAACCGTCAAACACAGTTCAAAAACCCTGGCTCCGCTTTTTTGTAGTACGTCTCTCCTGTCAGACAACCCAAAAACAGCTCACTGCAGTTTTAAATGGTATCCAGATTACCCTTATATAAAAAACCGCACTGTTACGGGCTAAGACAACCCTTATTTATTGGTTCACATCATTCTTATTGTCCGGTATCACTGTGTTTACTCACCTTTTTCCAGTCCTTGGCTAACTCCTGCAATGACGCAACACAAATGGATTCGGTTTCACTGTCTGGGTTTTCGTCAAACTTTAGGCGAACTCCACGAGCATTGTATTTACAGAACTAACGCGTGGACTAGAACCGTCGTGTTTGCTGTCTTTAGTTTAAACTCAAAGTTGTTGCGATCACTTATATTCTTTGTTCACTGACAAGGAGAAACAGAATCCGCTCTGCGAGACATCATTTAAAAGTTAATTTTAACCTCAAGCTATTATTTCTTCATAAACCACAAAACTAGAAAAGCGTTGTTACAGCCGTGGTTCGTTAACACTAAACTGAAATGTGAGTGTACGAAGATTAGAGACTGTCATTAAGATGTTCGTCACAAGCTACTATGAAGCGAACCAATAAGTGTCGACCGCAGACTCATTCGCGCGGCTAGGAAATTTGAAGTAAGCATAGGCTTTCGACAGGATGACCGAGTGGATAAGCTCACGGATTGCTGTTTCAACGACTCGAGTTCGAAATCCATAAACGTGCCTTCAATGACTGTTGCAAACTCCTACTCGGATAATTTGCTCAGTGTTGTTTCAATAGTCATGAATTAAAGAGAAGTACCTAGAAAAACCTCCAAACATGCGTTGACTTACCCAGACAGTCTGACACTTGGTAAATATTTATAGATTTCCATCGGAATAGTCGCCAACTCTCACGAAAAAAACTGAAATTATGAAGCGGCGGGCATCGAAAAACTGAATTATGAAAGCGGCGGCATCGAATTTACCCGGATTTTTATACGAAGGATGTGGCAAGACTCACGAGTTACATAAAGCCTTCCTTGGCTAACGGCATTCAGTGGGCGTAGGAAGAGAGCTCAAACACGTCAAACACAAGGCCACCTCTCCTGAATGGTCCAAACGGAAGCAAAAGATCACATCGCATTCACACCCGATCGATGAGCCACTTACTACGACCATTTTGAAAAAGAAACCCCTACACAGTTACGTTTTTCCAGGTGGCTAGCATGATAGATACCGCATTTACCGGAGTAAATTTTACTCTGACAGGTTTCCTAACCCTTGGTACTCAAAATACTGTGTAAATTGTACAGCTAAGTGCATCATAATGCACGGAGTTAGAGGTCCATATCACGTCACCTTAGACAAAAAATAAGCAAAAGCCTGGTACAAACTAACCGCAAACAGCGAACACCTTAAATAAGCAGAGATACACCTGAACAAATGACAATAGAGCATGAATGTCGAATATGACCAGCATTCGCAGATTTCTCGTTGACTGAAGGACTAGAATGATTAAGGGCCAATTTTTTTCAAAAACGCATTTCTATATCTGGAAAGATAGTGCCCTGCGAACTTTCAGGCACAGTGATTCAGCAAACTTCTTTACATCCAGATAATCAACTTTCAAAAAGCAACCGTTTGCTTACAGATATCACAGATATCAGTGTTGCGGGACTGATTAGAGTTTAACTGTGGGAGATCCGACCATTTGTATCAACACGCCATTCCCTGGTGTGACAGGGAATGCGCAGCAGTGGTGGTTCCCAATGACGATAAAACAGCTGTACAGTGCTCGTTGGCTTTTCAACATAGACTGCTTCACTTCTGGGATAAATTCTCTGGGATGAACTCTGGGATAAACTGTCTCTCTCTCTCATCCATTTTATTCCGCAGGCAGTGTTGGATGATTATATGTGGAACAGCGCATTTTGTCAGCTATGAACTTGGCCAAAAGGTAAACATTTATATCGTGCAACTATCCACAATTGCTTGTTCTTCACTGTCCATCCTAAATTGCAATAAGGTGAACAACGAACGGCACATGACCCCAGTCAGAACAGGTATCTGTTGCACAAAGTAAGTCAGCAACATGAAAACAGAAGTGGGTTACAGCTTCGGCACCGACAAGGTGAGTGACTCTGTACTGTCACCTAGCATCAGAGCGTTTTGCGGCAGTGTCATTTAACCTTTGTGACCCTGAAGTTGTACGTCATATAGTTTTCATTGGACTGCGATTGGGTGTAAACATCATTCTCCTGCTGTTCCGGTAAAAAGGTCCCAGTCGGTACATTCTTCAGCTCGTCTGAATCTCTGAGTTCGCAGTGACGAATCTGACGGTAGAATATCAATGTATACTGGCAGTAACATACACAATACCGAGTTGCGAGTTGCATCTTCGTTAAGGACAAGGGGACGTCGGCTGGTCGGATACCCCTGGAAATAGCAAATTCCCAACACAAGGTCAGAGACAAACACCATTCTTATTAGTGTTTGTTGTTCAAGTCATATCTCATCCACTGCTTCGAGTTACTGTCGTAGAGCGGCTAGGAATACCGAATTCCGGAAATGGTCACACCACACGCACAAAAAAGTGTCATATGGAATAGGGAGGATGTCTTAACTAGTTCTACGAAAGTTGGAATTGCCTGTTCTGTTGATAGTGTGAGCAGGTTTCGAAATCATGATGGAGATTTCATCCTGTAAGTGAAGACAATTTATGTCTAAGGGCCGGAAAGCACCATACTGAAACATATATAGCGCTTCTTGGCTTTCAGCACAGAGTGGTTTCACTTACAGGACAAAGTTTACATTGAACCTGACTGTTCTGTTTACATCCACTGGGGTAGGATCGTTGGGCGTAGTACCAAACACAACTGAGTACAAATTATACGGCTACTGAGCAGCTACACACTATTTGTCATGGAAAATAAATCATTGCGAAACTTCTGGTTAGACGTAGTCTATTGGTTCAAAATTCATGAACGCATCCCGTGTCACGTAACATAGGAATGTAACTGATGGATAAGCGATAGCTCTAATAGGAATGGTACCGTGCCTACTCTAGTCAGTCTATTCGCGCTAAGCACTTATTATTAAATGCACATTGATAGCTCATCTTTGGTGAACATTTTAGTGCACATGTGGTGATAGTCATAATACAACTCAGAAGGCATAGCACTAATAACAGTCTTTACTGTGGTTGACAGTAGTTTACAGAAGCGAATTGCAGCATGTATAAAATAAAGGCAATATAAAATGTGGAGTAAGTCAAAAGGGAGCTTATCGTATGTGAGAGTCCCTTGGTGAAAGTTCGGACGGCGGGAACGTGTTTTCTTCGCAGTATGGCTGCTACACGTGTTCCATAATTGTCCGTGGACTTGTGGAGAGGTTGACGTCCTGCTCCTTGCGCGCGCCCGAGTCTGTGTCCTGACTGGGTTCGGTTTCCCTTTTTGTAGGTCCCATTGCGTATACGTGGGCGCGTCGGCACATGAGTAGATGCTACGCTAACTAGGCGGTGCAGACAATCGATGTCCGATGAGCCAGCTTAGTGTGACGTGGTTTGAGTATGAAAAAAAAACAAGTCTCGTGATCCAGAGAGCAACTGTGAGCTGAACAGTCAAGTAGGTGGGTGACCGGGTAGCTACAACCACACGCACACACATCTTTGGTGCTTGAACTTGAAAAACCGTCGTCTTGGTTGCCTCACTCGTCTTATCCGCTGAAGGTTTTGTGCAGACCTGTCGCCCCGGATAATCTGCACTTCTAAAGTACGGACTATGAACTACCTCAAACATGCCTATCCTAGGTTTGAATCAATCGTTCCAACTCACGGTATTGTGCACTTTTATGCAATCTAACTGTTTGCATGGTATCACATAGGATAGGGACTAAATTCCAAACCGTTAATGTGTGAACCAAACTGAAGATACATGCGTCATCGCGCATAAAAAGCGGATCACTTAATCCTACGTGCAACATTTTGATTTGCTGCTGAATTTTTTGCTGATATTTTGTGAATGCACCAGTCATAAATCCATTGTGGCGGCTGAGCTAATGGTCCCACACAAACTTGAAGGCGGGAAACTATGCATCCCAAGTTTGTCGATTCAACTCAGCAGCAGAGCTAGGTTTGGAGAATCGATGACTCAATGGTCAGCAAAGTAGATGGGTTGAGTTTGTCTCCAGAGGTTCTCGGGATTAGGTGTACTGCTACGTAATGGATTCAACTGAAAGAAATGTGCAGCAGGACGCCAGGATGAGAAGGTACCCGAGGTTGGAGCGACCATTTGAAGCCAAACTTTTCTGCTTCGGTTTCTGACCCGACAAGTTCACAGCATGCTGTTTAGGGAACCGTTGATTGCACGTAGTACTGGTGGGCAGCCTACGTGTAGTATTACCCTACCTCCAGCACGGTCGCCTTCCGCTACGGATGCTTGTTTCAAAATTTTCCGGCGAATTTCGCCGAAGACCTGTATCAGATAATTGCTTTTTCCATCCCTTGATTGAGATACTTCTTCCTGTCCCCTGCACAACAGTCGGAATCACAGCCAGAGAAAAATCGACAGTTCCTAAACAAATCCTGCAGCTGTGTTGAATGCAGGGGAATGATTACTCACAAATTGTTTGGATAGGTGATTGTTGGTTACATACTTGCAACAAATCAGTTTTCTTCAGTTGCAAGCGTAATATTTTCTGAACCCAGTAGGTTGGACCGACAGGGCACATTGCATCCAATTGTTAACAACTATTTATTAGGTTCGTTATTTCGGTGGGGACTGGTTTCGAACCACAATAACACATAAAAAAAAGTAATTTGTTCAAATATATTTTTGAACATTTAGGAAAATGCTCTAATTTGGGCGCGAATTATGAATTTCAGGCGTCTAGAGATACAGTATCTCATTAGAAAACAGGTTTTCGGTACGATCTTTAAAGTCAATGGATATCCAGGTCAAAACCAAGGTGGCTCAAGGCGGTACAGCCTCAGCGCGGACAACCCTATGCTTTTTCGGGTCAAACTATGTCCAAACGACTGACGTCCACTGGACGCACATATCATTCACAACAGGTTGCACCAGTCGGTCTGTCAATCGACCCCGTCACTGAATATCCAGCCGGAAAGAGCACTTAAGTTGTGTAAGCCTGGTAGGCATCCAAGGTCATGATAAAGCTGTGCTTCAGGTGGCGACAGATTTGGAGCCGGGCTGTTGCATAGAACCGGAAGTTGTCTGGCTTCTCGTAAAAATACAAGGTATTTGGCTAGTTGAAACGTACAGCGATGAATAAATAAACTATGAAGAGGCACAGTACCTTGCTCAACAAACTAAGGAGCTAGCTATCTTCGCTATATCGGTCTAAAGGATTTAAATTTAAACTCAGTTACGTTTCACAAAGGAAACTACTCACAAGGTTTCTGAAAACTATTCGACAGCCCACGACCGGTTTCGCCCTTCTTGGGGCTCATCAGGTAGGCGCAGTCCCCGAGTTTCCGTCAACCTTATGTTCTACTTGAACGTTACGTTTCATTATTTGAATAAACGGAAAGGTGGGATAGGGAATGCTGTTTCCCGTCACCAGTGCTTTGATCCAAATCTGTTGTGCAAGATTTGAAGTAACAACTGACAAGACAACGTGTCACACTGGGATTCAGTCTGTTCACACTTCTGAAAACGAACTATCTGAAAATTCACACTTTCATCTAAGAAGTGGACCTTTGATATAAGTGCGCACCATTTGGTGGGTTTCGAATGAATCAAAACGCGGTCCACGGTCGAAATGGTGTAAAACCTGTCGCATCAATCAGTTTGAACGGAATCGATATCAATCGAAACCAAGCTTGCCTGCTAGGCTATTTTTATTCCGACAACTTCGGCTGCACGATTCAAGCTCTGTGTAACGTGATGTGTCAGTTGAAGAACTCATAGCAACTGTATTAACACTAGTATATTCGGTGGAATTCTTCTTTAATTGACAGGCTCCTTGTATACATGCAAAAACTTTAGAAGTCATAAAAAGCTACAGTCGTAGTGCGACGAAATAATGTGCTTTAGCTATTCGCAGTGCACACATAAACAATGCAACACATGAGTGTACGAAATCGCCAAGGTAACCAGTCAGAGATTTCGTCTGAATAAAAGGGCGGGTATTCTGAAACAATCAAGTTTCGTCGTTTATACACTCTTGATTAGGTGATTCACTGTCGTCTGTCATCAGCTAATCATACTTTTATTGATTTTATGAACAATAGGTCATTTGTGGATTAATTACTCCCACAATTACCTGGAAATCATATAAGTAACAGGTATCTTAGGAAAAGCGGTGAAAGTACTTTTGTTTTATGGTGTACTACTCATAAGGTTGCTGAAAACACCTCGACAGCCCACGACCGGTTTCGCCCTTCTTGGGGCTCAGCAGGTAGGCGCAGTCCCCGATTTCCGTCAACTTTATGTTCTGCTTGAAAAAAATTGCACGAAATCAGCGAAATAGGCTCATTCGCGAACATAAGATTGACGGAAACTCGGGGACTGTGCCTACCTGATGAGTCCCAAGAAGGGCGAAACCGGTCATGGGCTGTCGAGGAGTTTTCAGCAACTTTCTGAATATAAATGTATCGCGTTATCTCGGATATCGTAGTGACTGAAACATGAGGCGGTCCGGTGTAGCAAATTCAGTTGCCTGGAAACATCAAGACCGACAGATTCAGCTGGGTTACAGGTGGGTCTCCCGAAAAACCAAATTAGTTCGCAAATGAGTGTTTCGCTGACTTTTGTTTTAGTTTATTATTTCCTAGATGGCCGTTCTTAAGCCTTGCGGTTGCTACAAATCGAATGGTGTGAAAGATGCAAAATAGACCATCTGCTTCTAAGACCCGGACACACAGTATTCTCCCAATAGAGATCTCTCCTCCAGCCGGCAGACTTTCAAACTCTTAGACTGCTTACCACATAAATCTTGTAGCTGCCCTTCATAGGCGAACGATCGGGGAAACGCTGACCGGTTACTAACTATCTATGAAGAATAGTCAGTGGCCGTGGGATTCGTATTCGTAACATGCTTTGGATGTACGCAGTCATGGATTGTGCATTTAGTTAGAAGCCTCATTCTAGACGACTATTTGAATTTGAACGTACTGCTCAGACGAAACAGGATCAGTGTGACACGTCGAATACTGACTCACTCGAAGACTATTCGCTTTCCAGAACCCCAACAAGTGAAGGAGCTCGAGTCCAATGGTTTGGACCCTACAGCAGAAGAGCTGATTGCGACTACAGAATCCTGTCTATGAGTGAGGATGACTAATACCAGCGAGAAGATTGTGGCACGTTTAGTTCAGAGGTGAAAACAAACTTCAACCAAACCGCCTCACAAATGACAGCACAAGACCAAACCGGATAAGGGGTGTCGAAGATAAAGCAACCTTGATAAAGAACACTCGTTGCTTAATGAATAAATCTGGCAACTAAAGGCGAGGAGAAAGCAGGTGCATGAGTAAGAAACGTCCCACAGAGAGACGATTACGTCAAGCAACCTGATTGCCTCCTGCAAACTAGGATTCCAAGGGGATCAAGTTGAAAGGTGAATGTTCGACAAGGCGCATGATCGGACGGAAAGGATCGGTGGGTATGTTGATGGGGCACTGTACAATACAACGGAAGGGATGTTTGTTTTGGTGTGCGTGCGCGCCCGAATGAACAGACGCAACTGTCGGAGACAAACAGTCAAGACAACGTAAAAAGTAAGTAAACACCGAAAACCTGGCCGATCAAGACGAATGAACAGAGTACAGAGTCGGACTGGCTTGCACAAGAGGAACAGGTTTGTAATGTCAGATCCGTGTGTGTGTGTTTGTGCATACGATGGGATTGCAACATATGCATCTGTCGGCTGGTGGGATGGGGAGGGGAGATGGCGAGTACGATGGGATCTTGTAAAAGACGCGTCCGTTTTCATTAGAACAATACAGGAGAGTAAACAAGTTCATCCATCATCATTAGAGTCCAAGTCTGCAGGTGGCGTGCTATCTGTGTTGTATCGTTCCGCGAGCAGCGACTGAGTCAGCTGTTCCAGATGGGCAGGGGGGTCAAATACACCGTATTTGCGCCGGACCAAAGTGCGTCGAGGAGGTTCGTTTGCTGGCCCCTTGTCGTCCAAGGCGTAATTTCCGCCGATAAGCCACGGTCGACTCGTCTGTAGAACGAATGAACACCGAAGATAAATGAGGTCACGTAGTCCTGGTGAAAAATTGTAAGTTACTCACAAGGTAACTCATACGCTTAAGGTGAGCGTGCGATAGGATTCATCAGAGCAGAAGGATTCATAGTTTCATCATATGGGTTTGAACGAGCCAATTTACTCCAGCTTTCACTATCTCTAATGGAGCGCGAGATGGCACATTGGCAAGAGCACGAATCTACAGACCGGAAGGTCGGTGGTTCGAACTCGATCTCTGCCTCTCGACTTCCCCTGTCTAGGTTGGCATGGTAGTTAGGCACCCATTTTCATCTCCAGTGAACGTAAGTGCCCCTGATTGCCTTATCTCTTCTGAACAGACAGCTACGATCTGTTCCCCGCCGTTGTGACAGTGTCTTGTCAAAATGTCTTTCGAACCGGGCTTTTCCGTTCGGATCTATCGAACTTTGATTCACTTTTCACTTCCATTCACAGAAAATTTCTCCTCTTCGTCACTAAACCATACGCAAGTGTACATTGTTTCTCCACCTCTTCACAACAATATAACATCCTTTTAAAAAAATCTTTCGAATTGGTCCTAGTAGGAAGAGACTGTAATTTTCAAAGGTGATTTCGTTAAATCAGTGAGGCCACTCTATACTGAAAAGCCGACGAGCACTGTACCGTTATTTCGCCCCTAAGGAGAATTATTAGCAGTGTGTATCACACGAAAAACTCAGACAGCTTCGGACCAGCGACCTATCAGTCAGCCAGTTTGGCCACGGGCTCTCACTTAGACAAGAGACAGCGCCACTCATCCTTCAATCGCAGAAACCGCATCACGTGGTCACGTATTGACTGGCTCCTTGAGTGACTACTTCTCAGATGAAGGTTTCGCTGATCTTGCGAAATTACTCTTCCTGCGAGCCACCCTTAGATTGATCCTAGTTTCAGGAGATCAACTGAGATTCAGTCTCTTAAGTGAGGCTTTCAAGATGTTTAAAAGGAAAGCATAAGTTAGTTACTAAAAAACGGACGATCTCGGGAAAATGACTGGAGCCCTAAAACTCCTAGTGCCACAGGTCAATTTATTTGAAAAACCGGACGACATTAGGAGAGGATATCAGGTTCCCAAGGCTCAAGGAACAACTGTGTGAAACTACGGGTTAAAAATATGCGACTAAGGTACCTCCAAATGACTCATATAAACATTCGTCCCGCTAGTTTTCCGGAACAGCGAGTAAGCGGAGAATTCAGTGAGGTATTTTTGGAGGGCTGCTGACCGTTTTGTCAGCAAAAGCCTCCAGCACGCTTTGCATCATCAAGCAGTTTATGCAAGTATTGTCCGGTGAAACATTCAAAGATGAGTTGTTGGGCGCCAGCTCTTGCACTCCAGGCATAGTTGGTGTGCAACTCAAGGGTCGATCGCAGTTCGGGATGATCAGCGAGTAATGATCAGCTAAATTACTTCATATCCAAGCCTCCTGTAACTAATCTTACAGTATGTCAGCGAGGTGCACATATCATTCATAACGCCTATTCTCACTCTCGTCACATCCGAATGTCCGACATAAAGCAATGATGCTGTCGACCAGCCTTTTTAAACTATCAAGGCCTACAAAAGCAAGTGATGATTGGACGAGTGACGGAAAGGACCAAGTTTTATTGGTGGGTACATCGAAAAACAGATATATCAGGTTGGTTACTACTACGCAGTGGTAGCCGATTTAAATACCAATTGTTTTTTCGTTTTGGATTTGTGCGGGCACCTGTGTGGGTAACAGGATGCGCAATCTCGAGTAGCTGGCAGCAACATCACACATTAGTTCCTGTCCATTTTTGGAGCGCCAATCATCGATTGTACGATGACGTGCACTAATAATAATCGTTCGGCTGTAACATCCTGACTGCCATTCCACACGTAGGGGGCAGGAACAAAGCCACGTTCATTCTCGACAGTGGAAGCTCAGGTACCTAGCAAATCCGATAATCACACCAGCCGTTGAGTACACTAGCGAGTCAAGGGATTTGAAGGCCTACGTGGACAGGCGAGTTAAAGGTTTTGGAGTCAACTCGGTGGCCTTGAGATTAGGATGTCTCGTTGTTAAGTGGATAAGTGAATCTGTCTTCACACTTCCATGCACGGAATCAGATGCCTATCTCACCAAGATATGACCGCGATGGGAGAAATGCGGCTAGGTGACACGATGAGAAACCGCACAGTAACTTAAAGTCGTAGTTCGGTGTAGCACATGACGTACTGCTTGTTTGCCATTGACGAAAATGCTCGTAGCTCGGGCTTTATGCATGGTCGCTTAACTGCTCACCGAGGCGAGGTATTTGGTTGCAAGCATTTAATCTATCGTCATCGAGTTGAAACCGTTGGTGCGTGACGGAGTGTCCACACTCCAGTGCACCACCATTGCTGAGATCGGTGATAAAGCGCACGAAACCAAATCGTACCGTGAGCACGATGGCTCAGGGAAGTCACGGACGATCCTCAGTGAGCAGACAAAGAACGACAAGGACAGGGTCCCTCCTATGTGCGTTTTTCCTGGTGAATAGTACGGACCGTCTGCTGTGTATTCATCAGTTTCCCTAGCCCGACAGTTAAGGTGAAAACGTTCCGTCACCAGTAACCAATCCGCGACTAGATGGGCGTGCCCTCATTGTTTGGGTTTATGCAGTTTTTATGGACTGCATGATTGATTAATCGGTCTGTTTACGGAAAGCGTAGCTGTTATTGTCGTATGGACATATTCGACTTTCCCATACAACATGTAAAAAAACATAATTTAGTAATCAGAACGAGTAAGTAGAACATACTTGATCCTGATCGTTGAAGGTGACGCGCTGATTCGGTTCAAAAGATGCAATCAAACTATCCTCAAATGATTTGCCTAATTGAATGTCGCAGACATACGACGGGGGTTGCTGTGATGTCGGAACCGTCAGCTGCCCCTGCCGTGGTTGTCCCATTCCAGACTGATCATCAAATGAAAAGCGTTCGTAGGAGGCTGGTGCATCACCCCACAGCGTAGACGACAAGTGACAGAGCACGTTGGATTCTGTGTCGGATACAGGAATGGAGAAAGAACTGGTTGCATTCGAATCGGATTCGGATATTATGCTTTTTATATCCACAGCACTGTCTACGCGACTTTGTTTGGCGACCAGCCCCCTGACGGGTCCGGGTGGAGATGATGAGGTAGGCTTCATCTTTACTGGAACTGAACACGTGACTAGGTGATGATCCGACCTCAGAGGTAGCTGAAGGCTGTAACGATGGCGACGTACCTTTTCACCCAACAGGAGATACGTGGCCATCAAGTGATCGTACGCCCGTCGACTGAGGGACTGGAGATGGAAATGGAATATAAATGTTATAAGTAACAAAAAGGCAGGTGATGGCACATTCGGACGACTGATGACATCAGTTAGACTCACCTCCAGGATTTGGGAACGTTTCATGCCGTAGGATTCCATTATAAGGATGATGAACTCATTCAACTTGCCTTTCTACAAAAGTGGAATGGGGAGGGAAAGAAGAAAATGCGTGACTGTAACAAGTAAGCACACTATTACGAAGGTACGACCCCCAGAAAATAGAACTGGGCCGCATTAGAAGGGAGGTTGTACTAGAGAGGGATGAATAGTCTGACACTCCAGTGCTACGCGGTCGTATTAGAAAGAGTCCCAGTAGGAACTGTCAAGGGACGGTGGAGTCCTCTGTACGACGAACCTATAGTGACAGTTCAGATGAGCAAGGCAGACGAATGTAGCTCGAATCCCGGAAGATTACACTATATGCGCTATTCAGAGACATTGTTGGTTACCATCCCCTCAACGTTTAGACGAATGTACTCGAATCCCGGAAGATTACACTATATGCGCTATTCAGAGACATTGTTGGTTACCATCCCCTCAACGTTTATCTTCAACCCATTTACCAGAGTTTGGTTACCACCCCATCAACGTTTATCTTCAACCGCTTTCATAGTCCGATTACTATCTCATTAATGTTTACCTTCATACACTCATATAATCTGTTCAACGCATGCACACCCGCTGTTTCATTCCTTTCCGCATTATGACGAACATGCGCCCCACGACTAACCAAGAGTGTTGGAA